TGGATGGGCAGGCCAGGAGGAAACAATAAAGCATCTCCAAAGCCTTCTGGTGATTTGAACCAAAAACCCAACATTTGTAGGACTGTCGTTCTTGTATTTCTAACTAAAATCAAGACTGTAATTATTCTCCCTGGGTAGCTGTGGCTACAGCCTTTATTACTGATGCAGGGGGTGCAGGCCTAGCTGGAAGAGAGGATACTTCCAAGGGCTTGTGTCTTCCAGATCTTTAAAAACTTTGGTTTTCCTGGTGAGTTGACTGATACACAGGGGTACATGCTCTGCTCCAATTTGCAAAGTGTGAACTCCAGGATTTGCTCTGACTTTGCAAGACCATTCAAGCCTTCATCTGAAATGAGGTGTTTCACTTAGAGGGAGAAGAATAAGAACCTTGGATGAGTCTCTGTAAGTCATTTAGAGGCCAGACAGATCAGGGGCTGTGAGGCCATGTTTGCACATTTCACCATTTTTGAGCTGCTGATGAATCCAGCCTGCATGACTCTGCATATCTTTGCTCTCTTCCAGCCACAGGCAGCGAATATCTGCAATATAGATTTATCCCAAACTCGTGTAGGGGGTGGAGCCATGGGGCCAGCTGTCCTCTTCCCACCCATGGCATGTTGGTTCTGTGCAAGACTGGGAGAAGAAATGTCTCCCCTGGCCCTGAACTAGTAAGGATTTGTCTCAGCATGTAGCACAGACCCCCTTCTGTGCAGGGGAGCTGTCTCTGGGATGTGCAGGGTCTTACAGACTCATGCTTTGCCCTTTCCTACTTGCTCTATGCAGAAATGTGCACTTGCAGGAACGCTGGATACACACCCGTGTTTTGTTTGTGCTGTGTATAGCTTTGTTGGAAGGCTGAATTACAGAGAGATTCTTGTTACATTGTGTTGCTGGTGGTCTCCTGAATGCTTGAGATTTATAAATCAGGCAATTGTTTGATTCTGACACAGGAAAATGTTTTGGTAAAGGCAGAAGGCTTGAGACTAGTTGAAAATGTCTGGGACTCCCATTGTGTGCAGAATGTTATGTGTGCAGAGGAAATCTGTAGCATTCCTACAGCAAACCACAACAAGAAGCTCCATACAGCCCCAATCAGTCACAATTCTCATATAAATTATAATGGCCTAAATGTTATTTAAATGATAAACAGCTTTTGCATTCCAGACATTGCTGCGATTCCAGAAGGTGGCTGTGTAATACCAGCTGAATGAAATATTGTACATTGCAGGCGAAGTATGAGGCTCCATTTGTGTGTGCATCCGGATTTGTCACTTCTAGAATAGTCTTTGGCTATGAACCTCGGACTCCCAATGCACTGTGTGTATCTTGGAGCCCACGGCTTCATCCCTTATCCAGCAGAGTTGTCTGAAGGCTGGGCATGCCAACATGCCAGGAAGCTGAAGACACAACCACAGAGGCAGCAGAAGCATCCATTGATTCTGGGCTGTCACCACACTTCATTAGTGTGTGGAGTTTTACCTGGACCCTGCTCAGAAGCTGATGGACCAGTCCTTCAATCACATTTTCCTCCAGGGATGGAAGGTCAGGCTTCCTGGAAGCAAGCATGGCTTGTGGAAGAACAATGTCAGGTCCAGAGGAGACTGTTTGCCCAGCAGAGGGGCCATGCAGCAGACCTGGGCTTTCACTAAGGGTCATCTTTTGCTTGCTGATTCTTGAGTGTTCTGGCATAACAGACTGGAGACATTTGCTGGTTTTTGATGTCCCTGCTTGAAGGAGAAGCAGCCCAGCAGTCCTCCTGCACTGCGTGGCAGCAGCTCATTGAAACTTGAGGGGTTTCTCTGCTCGGGGGAGATTCTGGGCAGGGAGGGCCACAGCCACGGCCACACATGGGAGATGAACCAGAGGTGAGTCCTCAGGCTGAGCTGAAACCGTCCTACACGAGGTGCCACTCAGTGTGAGCAGGCAGAGGAGGCTCCTGCCCCAGTGAGGTCCTGCTGGAGCCCAGGAGACTGGATGGGTACAAAGAACTGAGTTTTTCTTCCTATTTGCTCATGTCATTTTTGATGTAACTCTCCTAAATTCAGGCCACAGGATTTTTCCAAAACTCCTTTTCAATTGACACTGTCTCATCTGCATGCTTTGTTGTCAAATTCCAGTATTCATACATGTTCTCTTTTATTTTAATTTTTTTCCAGAATATTAGAGAGAAGAAACTGCCCTGTGGTTAAACAAGGGAACTGGCATCCAAAGGATGATTGGATGTGACTCCAGCCTCTTCCACAGGCTCCTTCTGTTTTCAGGGAAGTAATTAAACCCCTCTGTCTGTTAGAGTCCTATCTGCAAGACAAGAAGGATTTAATCCTTTTCCCTCATCTGAGTCTCAACCTCTTTTTGTGTTAACAGGGTACCAAATGAGGCTTCAGTATTAGTTGGAGCTTTGGGGGTTTACTATTAAAAAGTTAATAATAACCAGCCATATTTCATAGAATCATAGAATGCTTTGGGTTGGAAGGGACCTTTCAGATGAAATGTGATTTGCAGTTTAATATGCTAAGTAACAAAGACTTTACCAAGAGAATGAACAATAGCCTTTTCCATTTCACAAAATAATTTGCCAGACATAATAAGTGCACCAGCATTTTTATAAAAACAAATTATAAATAATTCCTTTTTGCAATTTAATACACACATAGAAAAAGCCAAAAGAGCTCAGCAGCTACCAGGAATCTGATTTCATTGTCGATTTGGACTGTCTCTGCAGTTTTTATGAAAATCCCTGAAGACTGTGCTATTTTGTAAACTAAACATGGCGGCTTTTTTTTTTTTTTTTTTTTTTTTGCTGGCCATGTGGAGTCTTTTTCCATTCATTAGTGAGCTGTTTTTTTCATGGACACAATTAGACAAAGGAATAAATCAGTCAACAGACTTGGGATATAATTTTGGCAATACCAAATATGCTCTTATTTGCTTAGCTGTATAAATCTTTCACCAGAATACAAATGAGGCCTGTTCCTTTAGTCTTGGGGTCGGGGAAAGAGAGGGATCAGGCCAGATCCTGCAGATTTGATGGCTCCCACCAACCATAGCTGGTGTTGAGCAGTTTCCCTCATTACAGCCATTCAGCATTCCCACTATTGAGGAACTGCTTTGAGATAATTCTTCCATTTCCTTTCTCATGTTACAGAGTTTAAGAAGCATGCCCAGGACAATGGCTCCCTGAGGACTGTGTCTCCATGAAGGTTTGTTATGTCCCTCCATGTCTGAATGTCTGCCTGACTCACTGTTTTTGGTTGGTGGCCCTCTCAATGCTCTTCCAAAGAGAGGAAGGGTTTTCTCTGCTGCTTCTTGGGCAGGGAGATGAGGTATGTTAATAATGATTCATCTGGTACCCTCAGTACACATCACACAGAGATGCTGTTTCTCTTTGCAAGGAGAAATGAAAGTTTTGCTGACAGCAAGAGGCAGTGATTCCCTCCCTGGCATTCCCAGCCAGCTGTCATGCTTGCCATGGGTATGCATGCACGCCCATAAGGGCAAGGATTTGTGACTGATCTATGTTGGAGCAGGACTTCCTTCATCCCATCTCTGATTTTTTGTGTAGCTGAAGACATGGCCAGCTCAAATTCATAGAGGATTGAGGCCTGAGAGATGCCCTTCATTGCTGGGCACTATGTCTGCATTTTCATCCCTCTTCAAGGCTCCTTTGGGGCTGAAAACTTGTTTTGACCCTCTGCAGGCTCCCACCCAGGGTACCTCATGCTCCTCTAGATCATATTAAGCTTCCTCTGTGGAGGAAAAAAAAACCAAACAAAAAAACCCAACCAAGTTCAGAGAAGGATTCGAGATTTACTTCCCCCCAGTTCATTGTTTTCCAACCAACATTTTCGACTTCTGGTATTGATGTGGGTGGATTTCCCTTCCCTATGCATGTGCTAGCCTTGCTTGTCATTCCAGCAATTTAAGAAAAATTTTCTGCCCGAGTAACATAAACAGTGAGCCTTTATGATTTTTTAAAGATGTTCTCAGGTTTCCTGCTCAATTATTTTCAGAGATCACCAGATAAATAGGCCTCAGGAAAGACACACCAGGAAGGCAACTATAAATACTCCAAAATTGCTGAGAATAAGTGTCAAGGCTTAATGCATAGCTCATGGACTAATCTGAAATTTTACCACAAGATATTTATCTCCTTGCTCGTTTTCATGGTAGTCTCCCTGAAATATATGTCTATTCAAAGTGTATTTATTCTACCCAAGAAAGCTCATTTCCTCTTCATAACCTGCTCCTCCTCAGTTTTAAAATTAATTTTGTTTTTCAAAGTTGGCTTGTCAGTGACTGAGTGCTACCCATGGTGTAGTCTATAACTGAGCCAGAAGGAGCCTTTAGATAAAAGTGCAGTGCCAGCTTATGCCATCTGTCATTAGTGGTGCGTTATCACTACAGGTATAAATGAGCTGGCCCTGAGCTGCATGCTGCAAACGTGGTGTTCAGTGGGGCATAGCTGGGAACACGGTTAATCTCGAACATACTTAGGCTCCTGCAGACATTTTCAGTCAGACTTCTCTCTCAGGGGAGGAAGAGAATTTGTCTTGTGTCAATCACAGTAGCTGTATTCCCATCAGTGCTCCTGCTGCCACATTTAGCCCTTAGACCAATGGATTCATGGGGCAAGATTCTAAAAATCAGGCGCTGAAAGTCAGGAAAATCCAAGTTCCTGTGCAGAAGACCTTGCAAGAGGATACTGAGACGTTTGAGGCTGCCAACACCTTGGCCAGGTTTGGAGAATACAGCTCATCCCTGCGTCCTTGGGGCCAGGACAGCGTGGACATGACCTGGTCATTGGCATGTAAAGGTGGCTTAAAACTGCCACCTTCTTGCCTTTGTCCTGTGTGAGTCAAAGTTCAGGGATGGGGAGAGAAATGATCCTGCCCAAGGACATGACTGCTAGAAGAGGAACACCAAGTTGGGCCTGGGACACTTTCTTACTTGCAGCCTGGTCTGGGATGCTGAGAAGCAGTCTTGGGTGCTAAACCATCCAGGGGTGGGGGTGTACAGGAACTGATGATCACAGCTTATTCTCCATGGATACCTCCACACCAGGAACCACATTTAGCTTCCTGCTGTTTAGAACTGTGTCTTTAGCCCCAGAGGCTGGAAATTACACTCTGTGGTTTTTTACTCCACTTCCCTTGTCAATGCCAGTAAAAAGAAGCCAAATCCAAGGGAGAGCATGTGTCTGGCTAGCTGTCTGCACTGCATGCCCTGGCAGGACAAGGCTCCTATGTGGTGGAGAGTGGCTGCATCTGCAAGTCTTTGCTGTCCTGGTTGCCTTGCTGGGATCTGTTTTCAGTTGCTGCTGAGACAAACTCCCCAGTCAAATTATTGATGCTTTTCAAGTCCAAGGCAGCAAGGTTTCCTGTAAGCGCAGTTGTACATTGCATTTGCATGAGTCGCCTTTTTGGTTGTCTCGAAACCTCCATAGACAGAATTCTGTCATTAATTTTACTCTTCTATTCAATGGTAATTTGTACATTGTGCCTATCCAGCACAAGCCAGGGAGTGATGATGTTGGTACTGTGCTGAAGGACATTCAAAGTGTGGGCAAATCCATTGTTTTGCTCTGAGATGAACCAAATGTCAAGGGCTGATCCTTTGCTAAGCTGGGATACGTGCTGGGTAATCATCCTTCCTCAGTAACAAATACAAATTCTGGAGTCTTGTGAGTTGGGTCTGCTTGAGTGCCAGTATTGCTGTAGGAAAGTAATTTTTAAAGGTGCTTTTTTCACTCATGCTCTGAGTTTGTGAAGGGTTTTTTCTGTGCAATCTCCAGTGATATGGTACCCAGCCCTGATGAAAGATTTAACCTTTGGACTTCCCCCTCCTTTGCCAGGACGTAGAGCCTGGCAGCCTTCAGCAAATCCCCGTGCTCGGTGGTGACATGTTGAACAAAAAGGTGTGCCCAGAGATCTTACAGGTCACTCTCCCTAGGCTTGGTTGGAATCCTGGAGCTCTGACACTCCAGATCCAAGCCAGCAGACATCTGTGTATGTCTCTGTGTTGATGTGTCTGTGCCAGCCTTTTTGGTGAGTCAAGACTCTGTTTCTAAGCTGAGATGTTACTAAATTAGAGGGACTGGGTGACGTGGTCAAGCTGCAGCGCAAGAAATTCAGATTGGACAATAGGAAAAACTTCCTTCTTCTACCCTCTTAGAAAAGGGGTAAATCTCCTTTCTTTGAGATTTCCAAAGCTTGCCTAGAAAAAGCCACAGCTAAACTGAGGTGCTCAAACAGCAGGGTGGATGAGCTCTCCCGTTCCCTGCCTTCCAAAAGTCCTTTAAGTCTGCAAAGTCAGAGCACTGGAACCTCTGCCTTCTTTTTCTCTTCAAAAGAAAGATAATCCTTAACCAGACTTCCAGGCTTCAATGAGTAAGAAAACAAATAAATAAAACCCCAAGCAAATAAGCAAGCAGACAAACAAAACCCTAAGTAAACAAGCAACTAAACAACAAAACTCCCAAAGGCCAAATGAATCTTATTTATTTCATTTCCCAATTGGCAGTCAGCCTCATGATTTGTGTGGATTTAATACTTTTTTTTTTTTTAAGTTTTTGACCTTGGCTGGTAATCTGTAGTTTGAGTGGAGTCACATGTGAATGTTTGCTAGCTCAGAATTACTATAAATTTACAGCACCTGGAAAGGAGGGAAAATGGCTCAGGAAAAGGTGATGAAAGGGGCTCTGACTACATGCAAGAGTTTGATTTGTTCCAGGATCTGTATAAACCTACTGGAATTGGAAATAGCTGTTCTGCTGTAAGCTTCACTTGCAACCTCCAAAAATAAAAGCAAAGTGCCTTTCATGAAGAGTTAAACCAGTCATCTCTCCTGAGCCACCAGGGGCAGTAAAAGTGAAGGAAGTGAAGTAGTTAAAAGAGTTGAAGAGCTTATCACATGCTCTTGTTTGGGGCAATTTTCACTTTCTCTTCGCTGGGACACTCCAGCTGATTTTTGTTGTGATGGCACTTGGAGCAGCGATCCTGAAGAACCAGATTTGCGGTTTTGATGCACAGTTACCTTTGATCCTGCCTAGCAAGTGAGCAAAGGGAAGAGGAAAAAAAAGAAAGAAAGAAAGAAACATTAAATCCGTGGCATGCTGGCTCAGCACCTTTCACACTGTAAGCTTTGAACTGTGCACACAACTTGTGCCCCTTATCTACGCTCACATTCACAACTAGCAAGTGCCTTTGTGTCATTTTCCAGCCTGTCCTGCAGCCAGCCATTCTGTGAGCACTATGAATGCAAAAACCAGCTCTGCAGGTGAGGAAGAAACCTCAGGAATGAGCAATGAGACCCTGGGAGAGAGTGGGTGCTGGGGAGAGGCCAAAAGGCGACAAGTGATCCGTGTTGCCTACGTGATTGCAGCCCTGGACCTGACCTTTCTCTTCATGCAGATTGGAGTCATGCCTGTGAGTATGGGTTCTCTTGCTCCACAGCACATTTCCTTCAATGCCAGGCTCTGGAGTTTTCCAGCAAAGTCAGGAGATAGTTTTAGCAGGAAAGAGGAAAGGTATCCTTGAAACTGAAAGGAGTACTTGGTGTTCTTACCAAAGAGGTAGGCTGTGTCTGTCCAGGGTACACCGAGGCCATAAAATCTGCTTTATTACTTGGGCTGCAGTAGCACCTAGAGCCCTTTCCTGGCCTCAGGGCTCTGGGTGAAGCTGATGTTGTTTGTGTCTTCTTGCATGGAGTGTGAGAGTGACCCATCCAGCAGCTATCAGGGAGCAGAGGTTTCAGATCAAAGGTGGGTTTTTCTGAGTGTGCAATGAACCAGCTCAGTGGGATTCATTGCTTCTCACTTACTGGACTCTTCTGTCTGATTTTATAGAATCAGTGAGGACTTTTGGTTGGAAAAGACCCTTAAGGTCCTTGAATCCAATCAGAAACCTAACACTGCCAAGTCCACCACCAAACCATGTCCCTGAGTGCCACATCTACACATTTTTAAGACGCCTTCAGCGATGGTGATTCCACCACTTCCCTGGGAACTCTGTTCCAGTGCTTGACAATCCTCTCAGTGCAGAAATGTTTCGCAAGATCCAATCTAAACCATCCCTGGCACGACTTGAGGTAATTTTCTCTTGTCCTATTGCTAGTTACTTGTGAAAAGAGACTGACCCCAGCTGGCTACCAGTCCCTTTCAGGCACTTGTAGAGTGAGATGAGGTCTCCCTGCACCTTCAGGCAAAACAAAAGCATGACACAACAAACACATGAATCAGAAATAACTGCCCATTGGCTCGTCAAGGTGTGCATCGGTGCTTTTTGCAAGCTCAGGCTGTGGGTGCACCATCCAGTAGAGGCAGTATTTGCTCACGTTGTACTTTCATTGATTCTGGCTTGCCTGATTAAACAACAGCTCCAGAACTTTTCCATAGTTATCTCCCAGAGGGTGACTGGGCTGTTCCAGGTGCAGGGTCTGGAGGCAGGAAGGCATTTAAAACGTCCCTTATTCCCCTTAGCAGTTGCTGAATATGTTCAGCTGTGTTGAACTGCAAAGGTAAATGGTGATACAAACTTGTCAGCTGGTGCAAAATTGATGGTTTTGATCACATCTCCTTGTCCTTCAGGGTATGGGATAGAGACATGTGGTCTTTATTAAGCTGCCAGTGTCTGTAGGGGAGGGGAACTGAAGGAAGTGGTTGTTTGGAGCTGTGATCCTCTCCACGCAGATATTAAGATGGTTATTCATAAATATAGCATGCTTATTTTCCATTTATTTGTTTTTTGAGGTGGTTTGGTGTTTTGGGTTTTTTTTTTTTAGTACTTGGCAAAGAGCCTAGGTTTGGATTCAGTGGGGTTTGGCTATCTCCAGACCATCTTTGGTGTCCTCCAGCTTGTGGGAAGTTACATTTTTGGAAGGTAAGTGAGAATGATTCTCATGATCCTTTACATAGCTGAAAAAGGCCAGGCATTTTTACACTTTCATAAAAATAATTTCGTTCTGGTTTGTGGTCCTGTTGAAATGTTTGAGGATTTCATAACGAGCAAGGGGAAAATAAATGCTCTTATAGAAATACTGCAGCATAGAAGCAGCCTTTATATTAACTTAGCTACATTTTAATGACACACATTTAAGTGTAACAATATCCTGGGAATGGGCTTAAGCCCCTAGAGTCCTCAGAGCCCAGGTCCTAACAGCTTAATTCTGCAAATGTTTTATAGCCATTTGTAACCTTAGAAATGTCTTGTGACTGGGAAACAAAAAAAAAAAAAAAAAAAAAAAAAAAAAAAAAAGGGTATTTATTGATGAGAGCTGTCAGTTACAATAAGTGAAGGTTGGGTCATTTCATCAGCTGAATCTGCATCCATGTTGAATACAAATTTAGACTGGCATGGACCTTTAAGAACTTCTAAGACTCTTTTAGGAATATCTATAAACTTCAAGCTATCAAAATAAGAAAAGATACTTGGATTTTCTGCCTCTTTATCCTGTTCCTAATGAAATGCAAATAGCCCTAAAAAAATTGAGTGGTGGGAGAATACATTCCTAAAGACCAGGAAAAATAAAACCCTGAAAGATATGTGTAATTCAGTGACAGAAAACAAAAATGGGACTGAGAAAATCTAATTTCTTTTCTTGATCCAGCTACTGATCAGCAAATTAATAAATGGATAGGGTGCTGGTGTGTGCTGCTTCAGTTTACCTGCAGGAAATTTACATTCTGGCTGATGTAGTTTGGGAGCTTTACAGGATCCTCTGGTACGTGGAGTGTGGCAGTTTGAGGATCTAATATCAGCCCTTGGCCACATTTTCAAATAAATAACAGTAACATTTGATTCTACAGTACTGCTTGGCAGAAAGTGCACTTCTAAGAATGGAGATGGTGCAAAGGGCCCACTTTTAATGCTTTTCCTATTAATATACAAACCTTGAGTAGTATATCTGTCCTGGATCTGGTGCCGTCTGAAATCTGGTTCTCCTCCCTGCATGTCGTTCACTAATATCCAGAATCACTGCTGAAGGGAAGGAGAATGGCAAACCAGAATCTGTCTGGGACTGAAGGTGTCCTTTGCCAGACTGAAGCCAAAATTTGCAATGTAGGTTTGAGATAAAAAGGGCTTTTCTAGACATGAGACCGCTTTGATGTCATAGGGGCAGATTAAATAGAAAATAGAAAGAAAAGTGATAAGACAGAATGTGTTTCTTAGCTCAGTTTTTTATGTTCTTGCTTGATGCTCCTAAATAAATATGAAAAGATAAAGCACTGTCTTTACTTTTAAGTAACAAAACAAAACAAAAAAAAAAATCCCCACACCAACAATGTAATGATTTTTGGCCTTTAGGTTGCAAACAGCAAATGTAAACTGCCATGGCTTACATGTAAGCAGCCAAGTTTTGACCTGTACCTCTCCCTCAACACAAAACCTTTGAATTACTTAAGCTTAGCTCTGTTTGTGGGCAACCCTGGCATTTTTAGGGGGTTGTTCCTCTTAGTGTAAACACAACTAATTGCTATGCAAGGTAATATTCATCTGCTAACTCTAATATAACATGCAGCTTCAATAAAGTGAAGGAAGAAGGAATTGCAATGAGAAACTCTATCTAAGGCCTGTTTTATGATCATCTTAGCCCCTGTTGCTCAGAACCCTTTCTATGGTGCTGTCAGACTTTGTCCAACTTATGCTTTTTGGAGTTAAATTACAGCAAAGAGTTGGAGCTGGATCAAAACCTGATCTGACAAGGGTTTTTGCCTGTTTGTGTTTTGGGGCTTGAGGGGTTTGTGGTTGTTAATATGTTTAGTTGTGGTATTGTTTTTTCCCCTTAAACACGAGCAAAATTGAGAAATATTTTTTTATTTCTTTTTAATTTTTTTTAAACCTAAATAGAAAACTGACAACCATGTGCCATTTCTGTACCAGGTTTGCAGATCAATTTGGTGCCCGAGCTGCTCTAATTCTCTCCTGTGCATCTGGAAGCATCTTCTTCCTGCTTATGTCCCTCTCCACCAATATCCCCCTCCTCTTCCTCTCCAGGCTGCCAGGAGTGTTCATGCATGGGATGCCAGGTAGGTCAGTCAGGGATGAGCAGCTTTCCAAATTGCTTTTCCTGCCTGGTTCCCCCACTTCTTGCTTGTTTTAGGGGAAGTCAATGGGTTCAACAACATGAAGGAAGGAAGGAGGAACATGCAATGGTCCTCAGGGATGAAATGGTGGGAACATGAAGCTGCAGGTGTACTGCCTGTACAGTGCTTATTAGTCTGAGTTCCAGGCCCATCTTCCTGTAGAATCTTGAAGAAATTGTTTGGCCTTGATCATTCAGACGTGGGTGCAAGTCACTTGCTGGCAGCAGTGTTACCCCAGACTTTTCAGCTGCCTTCTTGCAACCAGGATATTTTACACAAAAGTTTTTCCTTTTTTCCTGGTAAAATAAGCATACTGGTAAAAATTAAACATTATTACAAAAATACCTTCCATTACCCACCAAGCTGTTCTGTTTTGGCTGATGTTTCCTATATTTTTCATGTAAAGAACATAAACTTCAGCTACTAGAACCCCATGTAACTCATGCAAGACAAATCAAGTTGATAATGTTTCCTGTCACTTGTGGTTTATTTGAGTGGTTTGAATGGTTCTGTTTCTCATGATGGGTGGGCTGTTCTGTTCAAAACTGATGGATTATGGGGTTCCCAGAGGATATTGACAGTTTTTATTTGGAAGCCCTCTTCCATGCAAAGTATGAAAATTAAAAGATGGGGAAATTGCCTCTAACAAGAAATCAGCCCAGAAAAGTTTTAACTGGAAAAAACAAACAAACAAAAACCAACCAACCAAAAAACCCCACAAAAACAAAAAAACCAAACAAAAAAAACCAAAAAAAAAAACCCAAAAAAACCCCCAAAACAAGCAAAAAACTCCCCACCACCCAAAAAGTTCCTAATGGTTTAGCAATAAAACCATGGGAACTGCTGAGGCATCTGCTCAAACTTTGTGGTAAGATACTTTTCCCCCCTGCAGGTGCTCAGAAGGTTATTACAGATATGACCACTCCTTCCCAGCGTGCTGGTGCTTTGGGGAAGCTGGGCTTTTGCTTTGGAGTGGGCATCGTTGCTGGCTCTGTCGTGGGAGGTGTTCTGTCCACCAAATTTGGGTGAGTGCCCCACTAGTTTGGTACTGATTTTATTGCAATCATTGAGGGAACTGCTGAGGGATATTTTGCTACCCTACAGCTTTTGATGCTGTCTTACTCCTGGTGGCAGTAGAGGACCATACCAGAACTCAACATTCTGCTTTCCATGCTGCTACAAGGAATACTCCCACTGTTTTCAAGGAGATCTTGTTGAAAATCTCACCTTCTGCCTACTTAAATACATTTTAAAATGAACTGGATTGAAGAGTGGATTTTGTCTTTCTCCTAATTGTCTTGTCTTTGGAGCTGAGTGTGCTGAAAGAGCTTTTAAGAAATGATATTGTACACTGAGAAATGGAAATCAGGAGCACTGTGGAGAAAAACTTGTGCAGAAAAATGGTGTCTTTGGGGGATGCTCAGTATAGGGCAAGACTATGGGAAAGGGGAAGGCAGGCTTGGGACAGTGGGGGAAGAGAGTGAGGAGGTCTAACCCTGTCACAGCAATATGAAGCACACACCTGACAATTCCATCTTGACTTTCCACAGCCTGGCACATCATAGCAGGCTGTCACCTTCTCTTGCATTCTGCAGTAGGAAAAAATGCTCAAAAGGTATGGTGTGTCAGAGAATTTTGCAGGCAGTGAAGTGCATGTGGCTGTAATCTCCTTGGAGGATTCCTCAGCATTGCTCTGGTGGGGGAAAAATCCCTGGTGGACATTCAGGCTTTTGTTATGCTCTACTTCTCTTTACTATAGATACTTGCTTCCGCAGACTCAGGTTAAAATAGCTCTACAGCACAGGATAGAGGGTAAAAATCACTCTCATCCTTGTCCTGGTGCCGTAAGCTCTGTGGACTGTGTATGCTCGTACATCTCCTGGGTGTTTTGCACAGAGCACAGTGGATTATGATGTGGGGTGTTGTGTGTTGCTCTCTGAACCCTGCTGTGCATCCACATGCATTCAGGTGCTGTGATGCAATTTAGTGTGTGAAATCCTTTTGTAGGTCGAGAAGAACACTTTAACCTTGTAACTTTAGGGAGCAGTCCTAAAACCTGTTGGCTGCCGTACCTTGGCACTGTTGGCCAAGTGACACAAAACTGACCAGGAGGATTTATTTTGTAGTTATTACATGGTTACATAAAATTAAAATTGGAGACATACATAATATTAACTGATCAGCATTTAAAGGCATTTATAGATGTTGCTGGCTGAGTGCTGGTTTTAATAAGTATTATTTTTAATCAAATACAGAGATTGTAGACCTTTATGTGTTAGCTGAAAGTAAAGGTTACCTCAGTCCTCAGCTTTGGTTATATGCTCATACTTAAACATCAGCATAGAAGCAGCATTGCCATGTAGCAAAAATTTATGGGGTTTCACTTTCCAGCGTCTGCATCAGTCACAGGTTTATAGAACAACAGCAGGGGGAGGGAATCTCCTGTGTAATTTAATTAGTCAGAAGCATTGACTTGAAGGCAATCTAGCTTTTGGATGTTAGTGCTTGGTGCTGTCAGACAGCGGGAGGCTGCCAGACTTAAACTTTGGACCTTAAACTTTGCGTCTGCAGCACAACGCTGAGGAAAGCGAGCCTCGTCCGTAATGATGGGAAAGTAAGACCCGTGGAAAAGGACCTGGCGCTTGCTTTCCCTGCAGGGGATGTTTCCCTTGCGTCCTGCGGAGGGCAGCTTCAGCCCGCTGCTCAGGGCTGCTCCGCATCCTGCGGCAGGGCTGGGCACAGCAGCCCGGCTGCCGGCATGCTCTGCTCCAGGAGCATCCCTGCATCCTCCTGCAAGGCCGATAGGAATTTCTGATAGCACGGGACGAGCCCTGCCGTGCTGGCAGCGGCCTCCTCAGCACCCTGATGTGCACAGAGTGTTGATAGGATTGGATAAACAGCAGCTTCAGGCTTAGGAAGCCCCTCCGGGTGTTTGGCAGCAAGGTTTGCTACAGCCAAACCCCGCTGTGCTTGGCTCCTCTGCCAGATGTCAGCACAAAGATTAGAGGAACAATCCACCGGGCTTTAAGTGTTTTGGCTGGTATCGGTGGAGAGCAGGAATTGGGTGACAGCAGCTCTGTGCCACAAACAGCCCCCAGAGCATCGCCATCCCTCCGGCTGTGTCTGCCGCACCCACCTGGGGAAAGGAGCGGGTGCTGCCCTAGGGACATGCCCGAGGCTCCCTGGCCTGGCTGCTAATCCTTCCTCCCTGCTTCCCACATTTGTACAGGAAGGCTCCAGCTCTACTTGGGACTGTGTAGTCACTTCCATTTTTTTTTTTTTTTTTTGTCTCAGAAGAATGACCCAATCACCTCCCATTGAAAAAGCATTTCTGCTGTGTCATAGAAGAGTAAAACTGGAGATTTCTGTCCACTCTGTGTTCTTTGCTTTTCCTCACCACAAAGCTGGCCAGCATTCCCCATGTGTTGTTGACAGCATTATTCATATGTTAGCAGTGCTTTGTATACAAGAGACGGAATAGAAATCACTCTCAGTTCCTCAGCTGATGTCATTTTAGTATTATTCTTCTGTATTGTATTTACCATTGATGTATTTGACCTAAAGAACTGGTCTGCTATTGTTTTCATTGTTGGAATAATATTTGTCAACCCTCATTTATTAGGGGAGCCCTGGGGAAGTTGACTGTCTTGTTCTGATTTGCATAGGATTTTTTGGATGTTAGATCCTGACCTCCGCTGTTAAACTGTAACCACGAGCTCCAGCCCTTCTTCTCTTTGAAGTGCTACATTTTCCCCCCATGTTTTCCAAAATTTTGCTGGTCAGGCAAATTTCACCACCTGAGAATGAAGTAGATGCCAATTTATTAACACAAGCAGTTGTAACTAACCATTTGGAAAGTGTTTTCTTGTTTGTATGTTTTGGGGGGTTTTTTTGTTTGTTTTTTGGTTTTTTTTAATTGGCATTTTCTGGTAATTGATCATTTGGGTCAGGATTGTGGATATAAAATACCTTCAGCTTGCAAATAATTCCTGTAGTTCAGCTGAGGGCTACACAGGTTCTTGGGGAGTGCAAACTCCCTAAAGGTTCATCCAAAAGGTGACTAAGGAAAGGAATTCTGTTGCACTCTGCAGAGGTTCTCCCTCCCTGTACACTTGGTGCAAAGCTGTTGTGGGGCCACTTGCTGCAGGTGAATGCACCCCTAAAGGAAGGTGATTTGGTGTTTGCAACAGACTTTTGTGGCAGCCCCATGGGTGAAAGGTGGAAGTAGACAGCTGGATTAGTTTTCAAAAGTGGAAAGATGAGTCTAGGTAGTTAATTACAGAGATTTCATCCTTTCTTCTGGGACTATGTTTAATTACATTTGGCTGCTTTTTTCTTTCCTTCTAACAAGTCTGTAGAGAATCTCTGCTGCATGACCTAAGAATGGTTTGCTTTCTATGGACAAAGGGAAGTTTCTTCATTTCAGTGACTCAGCTATAGGCTTAAATCTCTTGGAGCAATTATTCTTTTGATTACAGCAAGGACTCTTGGGGATAGTTTGTTGGGATTTTTTTTCCCCCGGCTCTGCTATTATCCTTCTTCCTCATGGGGAAAAGAAGGAGCTTGTTTGCCTGGAGTAGGGAATTGCTTTTTTTTTTTTTTTTTTTTTTTTTTTTTCAAAAACCCATTTGAACAAAATCCTCTGGCAGGGAATTTCTCATATCTTCATGGAAGAGTGGAAAAAACTGTGGGTGTTGGGAGCTGGGAAGGCGGGTGGGAGCATAGCAAAGGGTGAAAGGGTTGTGCTGCGTTTCAGGACAAAGCAGGGCATTCTGCTTCTGGGAGCTGCTCCTGCTCCTTTCCAGCAAAAACTCTGATGTTTCTCTGCCTGGGATGATGCTGATCAGCCAAGCATCAAGGACTGGTGACGCTTGCACAAGCATTGCTTTGTCCTTTGTGTCAAGGCAAGGGAGAAAGGAAGGTAGAGTCTGCTTGTCAGCAAGCAAGTCATCCATAACCTGCAGCATGGTCTGTCACTGCTGGTTGAGCCCTGGCAGGAATGGGGACAGAAGAGGAAATGGGCTAATGGGCTGTTTGTCAAGAAGCTGATGGCTTAGGGAAGGTGCAGATGCCCTCAGCTGTGGCCTTCTCTGAAAAAACAAAACAGAATCTAAAGGGTTTTTCTTATCATTATTCTGCATGGCAGCTGTATTAATTTGGAAGCCACTGCCCCAAAGTTTATCTGTAAATTTTGTGATAGAGGATCATGGATATTATCCTTCAACAACTTGTTGGTCCAGAAGTCAAGTATAGGGCACTTCTGTCCTCTGTTCCCAGCACCAGAGTTTTCTAGTTCTGATAACTTGTTTAACCTATTCTTGAACCTAAGAAATTCCTTAGTGCACTTTGGGTGGAGTTCATCTAATCTTAGCTATCTACAGGGGAGACAACTACACCTAAATTTACTGTTCAGACTCTGGTTGACAGAGAGGCACAGGTGGTTCTACACAATCCTTTACCTCTCCATGAAGCAGTCCTGAAGCAGTTCAGGAAACAGTCTACTTTCCAAGCTTTTTCTTGCTTGACCCCTATGTCCCAGGACGCATTTCTGGCCATCAGCACGCTGTACTTTTGGGTGAGGTCCTGGAGTTTGGTGCTGGATTGTGAATTTATCAGAAGCCACCAGGATGCAGGTTTTGATTCGTTTTCTGTCTGTGCTGCAGATAGGTCTGCACTGAGCTCTTCCCCAGCTCTTCCTGCAAACCTCTAACCTGCCTCCAACATCTAGGCCACCATTTTTTAGGTTTGGGTCCCCTGGCTTTCTGCTCTGTACCCACTGGAAGATGGCTCTGTCACTGCAAAGGTGCCCTTGTTCTCCCTTGGCCCATCTTCAGCAAACCTGGCTCTTCTGTGCTCTTCCTACAACCCCTGGTCTGAACTCCAAGGGAGGGAGGTGTGATGATGGAGCCAAGAGCTCCTCCTTGGTCCTTCACCCATAGGTGGGGCCCTTTCCCAAGGGAGGAAGAGTGGGGTTTGGAACAGGAGCCAGCAGCTCGTGGGAGGGAGAGCCCATGCCTTGTGGCTG